TAATATATTATATTTCAAAAGAAAATCTGATACGACAACGAGGATGAACATAAAAAATAAAAATATAAAACTAGGAAAGAAAGAGACTTGGTTTTAACACACACATTTTTCCATAGAAAGTGCATTTCTGAATTCGATGAAAATTGACATTTCACGTATGTTGAATATAAGAAGAACGTTTCAAGTTAAATTCCAATTTTATTTCCTCATACTTATTTTTCTAAGCTTCTTTTTATTTTTTTTTTATTTTTCAGAATCATTCGTATAAAACCGAATGCACGTAATTATTGCAAAAAAAGAAAAAAAAAGAAAAAATAATGAAAGTGTTAAGTAATTTAATTAACAATTACAAGTTGATAGTTTCAACCTATTTATTTAACCATTTGAGTGCTATGAACGCATATAAGTGTTTGTTAATATTAATGTAAAATAATGTAATGTTTATATTAATTAATTAAATTAAATTCACAGAAACAGAAACTTTAATTATTAAATATAATTTATAATATTAAAATCTAATTATGATAATAAATTATTTCTGTTCCTACAAGAAATTTTAGGTAAAAGTATTCACCACTCAGAGGATTAATTATTTGAATGAAGTTTTTTTAATATGATTTACTTTTATGTAACATTTTTCTTTTTTCTTTTTTTTTCTTTTTTCTTTTTTACTTTTGTGCATAAAATACACCGTCAACATTTTACTGAAAGAGGGACTTTTGAATTTTAAACATTTTGTGTATAATATTATACTATGTGTATGTAAATACTACGAGTTTACGTGTACGCGTAAGAAAATGAAAAAGATCTACTCGAACGAAGCGAACTTTATCCTAAGTTTATGTGAAATTGTAAATTTGATATCCTTACTTGATATACACCTGAACAAAATTTACACTTTTTTCAAGAAAGTTCTTAGGAAAAAAAAAGTTACTAAAAACATATATTTTCTTTCTTTGTTACTAGTTTCGTTTGAATTTAAATATTTTTAACTAGAAAGAGAAAATTCAAATTGTGTGAAAAAAAATTCCAATTCAAATGTATGAAAAATGAAAAAATAAAATTCATAAAAAATGTTTATCATTACGTACATGTGTGTGTGTGTGTGTGTGTGTGTGTGTGTGTGTGTGTGTGTGTGTGTGTGTGTGTGTGTGTGTGTGTGTGTGTGTGTGTGNGTGTGTGTGTGTGTGTGTGTAAATCAAGGGGAGAAACTGAAGATAAAAATACATAGTAGAAGAAAATATATTTACTGGCAAAATATAGTAACTTATAATGTTTCTTGATAAAATATGGTGAATTTAATTATGCAACCTAACGCATTGAAATTAGACCGATTAAATATTAACTTCATATATTTGTACATTTATTTTCAGAGGTACTAGTGGCATTGATATCGATTTGCGAAGAGTTGACATAGATCAATGCCCATTACCACCAGAATCTAATCAACTCAACATATTCGCTGCCAGTGACAAATGTAAAAAGCGTACCACCAAGGTAATATAATAATAATAATATTAATTAAATAATAATATAATTACAAATAAAAAATAAAAATAATGCCATTTTGATTTTGTATCAATTTATTTTCATTATATATTTGATTTTTATTATCTTATTTTAATTTTATTTTAATTTATTTTACTTTATTCTAGTGACAAATGTAAAAAATGTACTACCAAGGTAATATAATAATATTAATTCAATTATTATTAAAATAAAATTAAAGAAAAATTAAATTAAAATAAATTACAAATAAAATTAAAATAAAACAGTTTTTATTTTTTATTAATTTTTTTTAAATATTAATTCAATATATTTGACTTTTATTATTTTATTTTATTTTACTTTATTTTCATTTAATTTAATGTAATGTAATGTAATTTAATTTAATTTTATTTTATTTTATTTTATTTTATTTTATATTATTTATATTAATTTTAAATTTTAAATTTTAATATGTAGGGAAAATTTGTTTTCTCAACATTTTTCATATTACATTAAATGATACCGAATTTATTTCTCTCCTGTGAATTAATATTGATTTTTAATTCGACGAATTTAATTTAAAGAAAAGAGACCAAAAATCATATTAATATTTATCAATTTTATGAAATAATCATCGATCCCAAAAGTTTTGTACTCAAATTGCACCTAACAAACGAAGGAAATGGAAATAAAAATTTCGACATTTTTATCTCGAACGAAATTACTCAGATATTTGTTTGTTCGTTCGTTCGTTCGTTCTTATCACTATTATTTCTTTCTATTTTATGATTTTATTTCTATGTTTTATATATCACCGTGACAAAAACGAAAAACGAAGGTTCCCAACGTTTCGTCGTAACATGAGCCACACATGCAAACACACGAAAACACACATTCACATATCCATACATAAACAAGAATGCATTCTCTCAGTGCTATGCAAATTCCAATCGTAAATATTCGAATTCAACGATACGGAGTGTATCCCGATTGATTTCTCAACAACCAATGGAATTTATTTTACCCGAATACACGATTTAAAATGCATATCTATATGTAAACGTAAAAAAAGAAAACAAATGAACAATACTTTAATAAATACAAATAAAATCCTGTATATATATAGTAGTAGGTATGTATATATATATATATACTAGAAATATACGAAATTAATATTTCTAAGAAAGTAAATGGGATAACAATAAATTATGTGTTTGTTTACATTAAAAAAATTAAAAAAAAAATAATAATAAATAATTATAATAATAATTATTATAATTTTATAATATTTCTAATTATATTTTAATATTATTAAATATAATTTATTATTAGAATCTAGTTAATAATAAACAATTCCGTTTCTATGAAATATTTTAGGTAAAAGGGGGTTAATATTCCTAAGAAAGTAAAAGGGATAAAAAAAAAGAAAAAATCTTTCGATCTAAGAAGAAGAAGAAGAAAAAAAGGAAGGGAATAAAAAACAGATATGAAAGTTTTTAATCGTACGATAATAAAATATTCTTTTTTTTTTATTTTTTTATTTTTAGTGCGTCGCAATTCCTGGATTGGGATTTCGTCGTGGAAGTTATCGATGTGTATGCAAACGTGGATTTTATTACCCTGACACGAAGTCAACCAAACGTTATTACAATGGAACGGTGATCGAGGAAGAGTATGAAAAATTGATGATGGTATGTATGTTATCACAATGCTGTATCATTCTCTCTGTGTTCTATGTTATGTCTTTTAGTTAGATCATCGTAAAACATTTCAATTTGATTCTAATCTATCATCATCATCTTCATCACACCCACAACTCGTTTATAGTACGAGATATAGTATACTACGGATAAGTCATAAGATAATAATGTTTGTCAAATTTTTTTTTCTTGAAAAGGGGACATTTATTTTATCAGAAAAAAAGCAAAAAAGAAACAGAAGAAAAAAATTAAACACGTTAAAAAATATTTGTACACAGGGAGGGATTTGATATTTGCAGCAATGAACCTCTGAGTTGCTAATGCCAATTATTAATAATAATATTAATAAAAAATATTTGTTTGAGGTTTAACGAAACTATTATATGTACTGTACTTCTCTTTATTTTTATTTTAGGAATAAATAATAAATTTCATATATACTACGAATAACGCATAAAATAATAATTTTTGTCATATATTTTTTTGAAGAGGACAAAATAAAAAAGAAAATAAATTAAATAGGTTAAAAAAAAAAATAAATTAAATAAGGTAAAAAAAATAAATTAAATAAGTTAAAAAATACAAATTAAATAAATAATATTGAAAGAAAAGATTAAATAAGTAAAAAAAAATATAAATAAATACTATTAAAAAAAAATAAATTAAATAAATAATAATAACATTAAATAAATTAAATAAATAATATTTAAAAAAAAATAAATTAAATAAATAATAATAACATTAAATAAATTAAATAAATAATATTTAAAAAAAATAAATTAAATAAATAATAATAACATTAAATAAATTAAATAAATAATATTTTAAAAAAATAAATTAAATAAATTAAATAAATAATATTAAAAAAAAATAAATAAATAAAGGAAATAAATAATAGTTAAATAAAACAAATTAAATATTTTGTTAAAAAATATTTAAGCGGTTAGCTTAACAAAGCAATTATACTTCTTCTTTTTTATATCTTAGAAAAAAATCTTTCTAAATATACAAAGAATAAAAAATATTGAACAAAACAATCTGATATTCACGTGTAAAACAAGATGGCTTATTTTTTTATTTTCATTTTTTTTTGTTTGAAAATAACGTTTGCCATACGTTCGAAGAAAATCGTGAAAACTTATTCGCGTGAAATATCTTCGTCGTTGTCTAGTTTCTAGACGTGTAATATCTATACCGACACTAGCTGTTGCTGTCGATAACAATTTTATTTGAAAGACAAAATAGAAAAAAAAAAAAATAGACCGTGAGATGTGAAAATGGTGCCGACGTCTATTTTTTACACTTCCACTTCAACAACGTTTAAACGTTAACTCTTACAAACGTGTGTTGTATCAAATTCACTTTCCTATTTATCCAATCGTATTTTTGTAACAAATTAAAAAAAATAACGATAGCGATTTTTGGAGATAAACGTCGAAAAGTTAAATAGTTTGTACGAATTTTTTAAATTTTAAACCTAAATATCTCCCACCTTCCCCCCTTCCTTCCTCCCCCACTTCTTCCTCCTCCTCCTCCTCCTCCAACAAATATGATTTTTTAATTAAGAAATTATTCGATTATGGATTTTTTTTTTTTACAGAAACTTTATTGGTCGTCAGGTTTTTATTCTTGATGATTCTTACAAAATTGTAAGCTGTAAATGGTTTTGATAAATATATGCAACAAAAATCGTTCGGTATTATATTATAATAATAACAAATTATTATTTACTTATATTTTATTAAATTTTATTTTTTTAAATTAAATCAAATTAAATACAGTAAACATAATTTTATATTTAAATAAAAATTATATTACATATAATTATATGAAATAATATATTTATATATTATTTATATATATCTCTCAAATATTATTTATATTATTTATATTAAATTATATTATATTAAATATTATTTACATATATATATTATTTAATATAAAATTAAATAAATCTAGTTTTATAAAAATTATATTTTTATTTTATTATTTACTTTTATTTAATTATATTTTTATTTTATTATTTATATATATTTTTTTATAAACTCACCAAAGTCACAATGCTATACACTAAAAAAAAAAAAAACTAAAAGAAAAATTGTTAAGTATCTATTTAATAGATAGAGATAGAATATTAAAAAAAAAAAAAAATAAAACAAAATAAAAGTTTACTGATCGGTTTTTTGTTTTGCAAAATTGAAAAGTTATCGTTTGATTGTGACATGAAGTTTTCTGATGTCATTCAAACTATGTCAACTGCTACTCATGTTCGTATCATCGATATAAATGGAGATGAGATAAAAAAAAAATACAGAGAGAGAGAGAGAAAAAGAAGGGTGTGGTGAGATGGGTGGGTGGGTGAGGTGGGATAACAGAGAAGGGGGAGAAAAAAGTTTTGATATCCAGACGAACGAATGGTAAACAAGTTGAAGACGACTCGTACATGTACGGAACATATCAAATGTAGAAATAATGTTGTTGATAAAAATACTCGTACGAGTGTGTTTGTGATTGGTCTTGTCTGGCGACTTCATTTTTTTTTTATTAATCCCGGTATTTATCTGATAACCGAACGAAAATATCTTTCTATTTTTCCTTCTTGCTCCTATTCACTCTCTTTCTTTCTATTTCTCTCTCTGTCTGTTTGTCTAGCAAAGTCTGGGCTCAAATATCGCGATAAATTTTCACTTGGGTGATTCAACTTTTACGAAACTATTCATCCCATAATCCATCGAGACTGTCCAATTTCCTCAATTTGACACATAAAACGATAATTGTGAAAACTTGTTTGCGTTCATCGATAGAAATTCTCAATTTGAGGGTGGGTTGAAGGTGGGTAGATCCCCCACCATGATCGTAGACAAAAATAAAAAATAAAAAAATAAAAAAAAAGGATCATGAATTATGATAATAAATTTGTTATATTTGAAATCACGTATTTTTATTATTATTATTATTATTATTATTATTATTATTATTATTATTATTATTATTATTATTATTATTATTATTATTAACACGTTCCAAATGCCAAGAAAATCATTTTGTTTAATTTACTGTTTAGATCATTTGATCCTTGCTTTAATAGAATCAATTATTATATGTAATTATTATTAAATTATTGTCAATATAATAATTAAACAAACTTATGTGCTATTGTTATTTTATATTGCATTTATTTTATTTACTGCAATTTATTTTATACAATGCATATATATAT